GAATACTACAAAACCTCAAAACTTCCAAGTATAATTCTTGTACAGAAACACATAGATAGATGAAAAGAAACAAATACAAAGTCCGGAAACAGATCTCAGTATATACTGAAGAACTGCATCTTACTCAGAGGTTAAATTATAAAGTTATCCTAATACACTGAAAATGTCAAAAATCTGCAAAGTGCAAAGTCCCATACAGATAAAAATTACCTTTGAAAAATCCTTAATCATGTCAAAATTACCAGAAACTGAACTCATGGAATCTCAGAAGCCAAGAATTAACTCGTACGATTTCTCTCTGCATTTCATCTTTCACTACCACCCCTCCAACAGCAGCTAGTTGAAATGTAAGTATGATACAGCCCTACTGTAGAGAATTCAGTATTTGCTGAGAAAGCTACTTCTATAATATTTAATGAGAATGCAATAACTTCATAAAGGCATGAAGAAAACTGGCTAAATATTTGAAAAAAAAATTAAATCATAACCCCAAACTTACACTGGCATTTAAAATCAAATTGGAATAATTTATCAATCTACTGCCAATCAGGAATGGTCTGTAGCCTGGCCCAGGAAGGGATGGCACTTTTGCCTTTTGTTGTCCTCCTTATCCCACGACATTGGTAAAGAAGTAGAAGTGGGAGAGGATGCAGGCACGACTGCCAGACCACAGTGCCCCAGCCTCATCCAAGAAGCCTAAGGCATGACTTTCACTGCATTTGAGGTAAGGAAGGAAAACCCATGGAGTTAAGCCTCAATTATCTAAAAGAGAATATTCTAAAAACTGAAAGTAGCAAAAAAATGTTATATAATAGACCCCATTCAGGGTACCTTGACCTAGTGGAAATAAAGGTTTGATGGGGTGATATAGGTGGGCATAGCAATTAGGGGAAAACTTGTTTCAAGTTTCCCCAACAAGTAATAGCCCTTCATTAACTGATCATAACATTCATATCTCTAAGTGCTGGGAAAGGCTAAATGTTAACAGTAGCTATCTGTGTATAGTGAAATTACAAATCATTTCTCTAGCTTCTACATTTTCCATTTTTGACCATGTATTTCATTTGTCAAAAGAAAATCAAAACTACTATAAAAAGAAAAGAAAAAACTAGTGAAATATAATACGAAAAAACATCTCCATTCAAGTTAACTGTTAAACTACCAGATACTGTCCCATAAGATTAATCTACTAAGGTTTCTGACAATAAAAGAATCCACAGAATCCACTGAAAATGTCAAAATCTGCAATGTGTTACAAATAATATTCTCATGAAAGAATTTTTCTGTGTTGCAAGTTAGTCATTTGTTGTATCTCATGCATCGAAATAAAGGTGATCAATGTTTTTGCTAAAGTAATTTCACTCTAAGAACCCACTGACAATTGAAGGTACTTATTTACACTCTCACAGCTAAACAGAAATATCAAATATTAAGAGTACTAGGGTATAAAGAACTTAAATTTCAAAATTAAGGACCATTTAAAAAGATCAATCATTAAAGTAGATTATTCAGTATGAAGTATTATTTAGTAAAATATAAAAAATTTTGGAACACAGTTTTCCCCACATATTATGAACTTATTTGGCAGGTTAAATCAAAACATCA